CCCCCCCCCCCCCCCCCCCAAGCTGGATGAGTTAGTTGCCAATTGTGTCTCCCTGGAGTTTGGAAGAGCCCATTAACTTTCCATTTTTTTTTTTTTTTTGTAATATTCTCATTATGTATCATTTCGTTTTTTTTTTTGTTATCCCATCCACACTCTCAACTGAGTAAAGAAAATCTGTGCATAGAGATGTGTTATCTGATGATGATCAACTGAACTTGATTATTATTTCTAATGCATTCATCATTTTCACTTCTTTCTCTTCTAATTTGCAAGCAAGAGAATGGTGGATTCGATTTTGATTTTCGACTTGTTCAAGCCTTCTAAGAGTGAAAGTTTGTCTAAAATGTTTATTTTTTTCTGCCGATGCCCGACTTGTTTACGGTATGCGCTTCTATGCCCAACTTGTTTGTATAAAGTGGTGTGGTAGGCAAATGTCTTATCTCTATTACTTTACCATCTCTATTTTTCTTGTAGACATTAATTCCAACCTCGAACATCTTGGTGGATGATATATGCTGAAATATCAGTGAGTTCCGCTTAAAATTGATTAATATTAGATAATTAACCTGTAATTTTAGTTCATGAATGAAGAAGAACAATAAGCAGCACAAAATTTCACACAAAAGCACTTAATTCAGTTTCAACTAATGTACACCAATAATGAACTCTCTTTTTTTACATATTTCTCTCACTTTCCAGGAACAAAGTTTGTGGCGTAGGCCCATGCGTTGTTGTTGACTGGGTCGGCAAGGTGGTCAGCCAAGTTTTCCAAAGGACCCTTTCCGGTGACAATGGCCTGAACGAAGAATCCAAACATGGAGAACATGGCCAGCCTTCCATTCTTGAGCTCCTTAACCTTCAATTCAGCGAAGGCCTCTGGGTCGTCAGCAAGACCCAATGGGTCGAAGCTTCCACCTGGGTAGATGGGGTCGACGACCTCCCCGAGTGGGCCTCCGGCAATACGGTACCCTTCGACGGCGCCCATCAACACAACCTGAGTGGCCCAGATGGCCAAAATGCTCTGTGCGTGGATCAGGCTGGGGTTGCCCAAGTAGTCGAGGCCTCCCTCGCTGAAGATCTGAGATCCTGCCTTGAACCAAACAGCCTCGCCGAACTTCACGCCATTGCGGGACAGAAGCTCGGGGAACACACAGCCCAAAGCTCCGAGCATGGCCCATCTGGAGTGGATCACTTCCAGCTCACGGTTCTTGGCGAAGGTCTCGGGGTCGGCTGAAAGTCCAGCAGTGTCCCAACCGTAGTCACCGGGGAACTCTCCGGTGAGGTAGGACGGTGGCTCGCCGGAGAATGGGCCCAAATACTTAACACGGTCGGGGCCGTACCATGGGCTGCCAGAGGAAACTGACTTGCTGGCGGTCTTCCTCATGCTGACTCTTGCATTGCCCTGAATGTCAGGGGTGTTGGGGGAGAGATTCACGGCCTTACCAGCCAGTGATGGAGAAGAAAGAGCCATTGTGGAAGCAGCCATTGTTGGAGTTGGAATGAGCTGTGTGATTAATGGAGGGATGTTTTTGTGGTGGGGAAGTGGTGGGTTTGGTGAATTTATATAGTGAGCAGAGAGAATAGATTCTTATCCATTGGTATCTATATCTTCAATCCCATTGGAGTTCAGGGATTTTGCTCTGTTTTTCTATCCATGCCCACATGGCTCACTCCCATCCACCAACTGCTTCAGATTCATATCACTATACACTGACTCTAACGTTTAGATAGATCGTCCCTTTCTTTGATGCAAATTATATCTGCAATTTCATGCATTTGGATAGGTGCTATCAACAACCCACATGTCGAAGTTTCATTGGAAGGAAGGTGAGCCCAAGGATTTGCCTAAGATTTTTAGAGCTATAAGTGGCACAGAGGAAGCCACCTGGAGCAAGGAAATCAGCCATAGGAACCTCAACGAATGAGGAAGCTGATATTAATTTCCCTGGATAAGGACCCTTCCTCCAAGTTCATGTATATTATGCTCTGTTAATCCCATCCACCGATATCAGCTTCCCTGCACTTCAAACCCATTTCAGCTTCCTTCTGAATCATACCAATGGCTGCTTCTACAATGGCTCTTTCTTCTCCATCACTGGCTGGGAAGGCCGTGAAGCTCTCACCCAACACCCCTGACATTCAGGGCAATGCAAGAGTCAGCATGAGGAAGACCGCCAGCAAGTCAGTTTCCTCCGGCAGCCCATGGTACGGCCCCGACCGTGTCAAGTACTTGGGCCCATTCTCCGGCGAGCCACCGTCCTACCTCACCGGAGAGTTCCCCGGTGACTACGGCTGGGACACTGCTGGACTTTCAGCCGACCCCGAGACCTTCGCCAAGAATCGTGAGCTGGAAGTGATCCACTCCAGATGGGCCATGCTCGGAGCTTTGGGCTGTGTGTTCCCCGAGCTTCTGTCCCGCAATGGCGTGAAGTTCGGTGAGGCCGTTTGGTTCAAGGCTGGATCTCAGATCTTCAGCGAGGGAGGCCTCGACTACTTGGGCAACCCCAGCTTGATCCACGCACAGAGCATTTTGGCCATCTGGGCCACTCAGGTCGTGTTGATGGGCGCCGTCGAGGGCTACCGTATTGCTGGAGGCCCACTCGGGGAGGTCGTCGACCCCATCTACCCAGGTGGAAGCTTCGACCCGTTGGGTCTTGCCGACGACCCAGAGGCCTTCGCTGAATTGAAGGTGAAGGAGCTCAAGAATGGAAGGCTGGCCATGTTCTCCATGTTCGGATTCTTCGTTCAGGCCATTGTCACCGGAAAGGGACCTTTGGAAAACTTGGCTGACCACCTTGCCGACCCAGTCAACAACAATGCATGGGCCTACGCCACAAACTTTGTTCCCGGAAAGTGAAGAGTCGCAGGATTGAGAGAGCGAGAAAGGAACATGTGTTTGGTTTAACCATTGATTTGATGGTGATGTAAATTACGGGTTCAAACAATTGAGTGCTTGATTTGAATGGATCTCATTCTGATTCTTTCAGTCATAACAAAGATATGATCTTTCTAATGGAAGGATGAAGATTTGAGTTAAAATAAAATTGGTGTTCAAAGAGATAACTCAGAGTTCATAGTTTGAGTAATTCTGAGTGAAAACAAGAACCTGGAGAGATGAGAGGAAATGAGCCTTTTGGAATCAGAGCCACAGATAATGGCAGGCCAATTGCAGTTGTGGTTAAGAGTCCGTCGAAATGGATGGAGTTCTTGAAAGTACAATAAAAATAACCGCTCCTACCAGCCGCATGTTAAGAGCCGAGATGAGGGATAAAAAAAAATTATAAACATACGTATTTTTAAAATTAAGAAACAAAATTATAATTAAAAATACGTAAGCTATATTTTAAAAAATAATAGTCAAAACCAAAATTAGTTTTTTTTTTTTTTTCTTTCTTTCTTAAAATCCCCACACGAGGAGTTGTTTTCAGTTTCACGATGCGCATTTGTCAAACCATGTGGACCCCACTGCTCCATTCGATCACGCGTGCTTGATCCAACGGTTCTCATAGCATCACATAATATACGGAAATCATTTCGATCCAACGGCTCTCAGTTCACTGGGTTTGACCATTGTCTGTCTCAATACATGATTCACAGATTCACACAAAAACCCAACTAAAAGTTTTTAAATACTCTCTTACCCCTCGATCTCTCTCTCTCTCTCTCTCTCTCCCTCGATCTCTCTCATCTTCCTGCCAGATCTTTAGCTTGCAGACCAAATCTGGGGACTGATCTACCGAACTCTTACGAAAATCGTCCGATCGTCTTCGTTTTTCTGCCTGATTCAGCTCTGGAATCACGTGGGTGAAATTTTTTGTTTCATATTTTGAGGAAACTTGTTTGTTTTCCGTTTCTTTTAGCTTGCGGTAATGGGGCTAGGGCACGTATACTTTTTTTGGAGTTCGTTTAATTTCTGGATGCGTACTGCGAGAAGTTAATTTTCGAGTGATTTGTACTTTCGGCAGATCGTAGTTCTGCTTTGTTTGTTCTTTCTTTACTGTTATCATTGTTAGTGTCTGGCGTTCTCTTGCGATGGGGATTTTCTAAATTTAACCTTAAATTACTATGCTATCGATTCTGTTCTCGTTGATCTGTCAATTTTTTCTCAGTGTTTTTGGGCTGTTTTGCACTTGATTTTTTCTCGTCTCGTGTATGGATAATGAGGAAATTCGGTAAAATGAGCGATTTGATGAACTCTTAGGTTCTGTTCAGGGGAGAACGTTTAAACCAGATTAGCGAGTACCTTTATCTTTAAACTTCTAAAAATGTATACTCACGTCGTTTGCTTAACTGGTTTTGTTCACTGGGTGTTCTGTCTAGGGAGTTGTTCATGTTTTTACGTTTGTTAAGTTGTACTGATTGCTTCTCCTTTGTTTGCTTTACCTTTCAGTTTAGGATTGGGTTCGTCTTTATATTAAGTGGAATTGGAGAATAGAATCAAGATGCCGTGGACAGCCTCCTTGGTGAATTACTGCAGCAAGTGTGTTCGCTTGGTGGTCTTCTTTCGTGTCATTCTGTAATTTGATTTGCATTGGTGAGATTTTTGGAACGAATCCAATTATTTTGATTATTACCATAATTGACTAGACATGTAAGAAATTGTCTTGGAGGGAGAATATTTTTCTTTTGGTAGATCACAACAATGATCTTTCACTGACCTTGTATTCACTTGCCAAGGCTAGGAATTTGTTGGGCTCCGCCAGATTTATCTTTTTGAGGATCGTCCATAGAAAAATACGACTGATCTTGTGTACTTGTTAATATTATTATTGTGCTTGTAAATTTTGTGAAGTATTGAAGTTATTTGCTTATGGCTGTGTGCAGAAGGAAATTAAAACGTTGATTTTGCTGGTCTTACTTTTGCGGCTGTTCCAATATTATATTACTGGTTGGAGGAGTGAGAATGTACATTGGTATTACGGGAAAGAGAAACAGAGCTGTGAAGGAAGTTGGGAAGGTTAACATGAGTGTTGGAATCATTGCCTACTACCAAGTGATGCAAGTTTGTCAGGTAAACCATAATCTGTAAATTTTACTCTGCGGTGATTGTTTGTTGTTACAGCTCACACATTTGAAGTGTCTGAAATTTCATATTAGTTGTCTCTTTATTCATCCCAAATCACTATCAACTCTAAATCGATTTCTGAAGTATTGATAAAAGGGTAGTTTTTACTTGCAACCATGTTACAGATAATATGGTGTTTAGTTCCAATCTTCTATCTTTTGATTGTTTATTAGCTAAACCAAGGTATTATAGTATATTTTTGAAACATTAAGTTTATATATGCATTTTTTCATGTTGTAGTTAAGTTTTTTGCTTTCTCCTCTCATCTTCCTGCCTGCCTTGAGATTATGTTTACTGTATCTCAATAAAGTAACTTTGTTTTGTAGCTGTTGTCGTTCCTTCGGAGTTCTGGATTTGTATGAATTTTATATTTTCAAAAATTGGTTACTGGTACATTTTATTGTATGAACTAACACATTTTGGATTCACTTGACTGTCTGTACTGCTTTCATTGTTGGACTGTTAAAGGGCATCTTTAAGTGCTTTGTTTTGATGCCTTTCAATTTGTTCATTACAGGCCGAGTATTTTCGCCAATTGCTAAAACCTGTCACGTAGGAGAACATTGCAATAAGCATTTGGACATTGGGGAGTTGGGTGGACTGGCCTCCAGTTGTGCTAGAAGTGAAGAAATGAAATATTTCTTTCCTGTCTGTCTTTAATTTGATATAAAGATCTCGCTTAAATTTACATGGCAACATATAGAGTTGCTTTGTAGTCTTCTCATTAGTTAACATCCCATTTTGATTTTCGTAATACAATAGCAAGCTTTCCTGAGAGAGAAGACACGGTAACTTGAAGTTTGGAGAGTTTCCCGTTTGTTTGTTTCTTTTACATGGACTTTATGCAGAGTGACCTCAACTGTTACCTCAAAAACGCGATGCTTCCAACAGCAAACCAAGGGGGTGATAATCACATGCAGATTCCTCTGTCATCTGCCTATCCTTCTGTTTTACCTCCTGGGCGAAACAACTTGGGACCTTTCAATACTGTTGAGTTTCAACCTTCTGAAGTTTGTCCCCAAAATTTCATCATCTTCGACCACACTGATAATCGAAGCCAAATCATGTTCCATCCTGCAATTGCCAACAAACTTAGTGGCCCTACTGCGAATATGTGCTCGAAGTACATCCAAAAGAACTTTTACGTCAATGATGAGCATAATGATGATAGTAGAGAAATATCATCTCCTTTGATGGAAGATTTGGATGACATCGATGCATTATTGAGCTTGGATGATGAAGATCACGAAGACATTGATGGGTCTGAAGATGAAGAGATCAGCACTGCAAGGTCTCATTTGAATTATGGGAATCAATCCCCTGATTCTTCATCCTCCTCTTATAGTTCAAAACCCAGGAAGAATCGGTCATTTAATCCTGTCCACAAGTTGTCAAGCAGTGGAAGAAGCAGCCGCGACAGTGACATGAAACAGTTAAAAGTGAAGAAAATGGTGAGAAAGCTGAGAGAGATTCTACCTGGTGGTTACCAAATGACAACAGTCACCGTTCTCGACGAAGCTGTTAAATACCTGAAATCTCTCAAAGATGAAGTGCAGAAACTCGGAGTCGGGGGCTTGGAGAACTAAGTCTCAAAGTAAGCCTTCTGGTGGCATCAGCTGTAGAACTCTGAAGGATTCTCATATCACGTGCTTCTCCTCGCCACCTAGTAAAAAGGTTCTTTGAAAGATTATTAGTGGTTCTTTGAATGTTTTGAATTTCAAATGCCTGCGGTTGATTTGACTGTGGAACCAATATTTCTTGTCAGGCTCCTGGACTATGTTATTACCTGTTTCGTTCATGTTTTACTTCGGTGTCTGGAAGTTCTGCGATTGATCTGCCGCTTCTATCAGCATCTGTTATCTTTGATTTAAGACTGCACTGTACCTTCTTTTTTGTCTTGAACGTCTATTATCAATCTATTCCAGAATCATTGACTGTAAATGGCTTCCTTATCTGTGTGCTAGAAATGTGGAAAAATCTCTTAATGTTCTTGTGGTTTCAGAGAATCTAGGTACAGAAGAAATAGAACAGCACTCTGTTTCGCTTGACCTGGAGAAGATGATTGATTTGATTGTCTTCTTGAAATCATTAGCTCTGGTATGTTTCATTAATACCAACGTTGTTAAATTGATAGAACTTCTAGACTGATTGATGAAGATGCACAAGGTTTCTAACTCATTTAAGCTGAAGACCAAAATGACCCCTTCATTCCTCCATCCATCCATCTTCAAAATATTTTCTCAGGAGGCTGCCGCCGGCAATAAGAAGCAAACAAAGGGTCACCAAAATATTCAGATGAAGAAGATAGTAAAAGAAGATGATCGGCTAATAATAACATTCTCAGGTTTGTTTAAAAAATACTCATAACATTTTAAAAGCAGCATTAGGATCTCTATCAAAAAAAATTCTTATTATATGGATGAAACCTATCTATCGACACTTGTAGATTATTTACGAATTTTAATGTTATTTTGAAAAGATTATGAGTATTATTTGAAGTGTGGTACTAATAGTAAATATATTTTTAATTTTTTTTTAAAAAAGTTATGTTTTTGAAGTTGTGTAAGGTATAAATTTTTTTGCTAAAGGATGTTTTTTAAAACCATTTTAAAAATTTAAGGGTATTTTTTAAATAATATGTTAACGATTTCTATCCAAAACTAATAATAACGATATTTTTGAACTTTAGAGTTCAGTGTTTATGGTGCATTTTTCCATGTCCAAATATTTAATTATATAATTTCATAATTTAGAGTTTTTTTCTATAGTAATATCTCATATATAAATATCTTCGATTTCAACTAGGACAGATGATCAAGATGGTTCGTTCTTTACCAAAACTATTAAAACCTTTTAAAATATCTTGATAATAACCTTTCAAAAAATATCTTAATAATTCAATATTTATATATTTTAGAAAGATAAAATATATATATATATATATATATTTAAAATTTTAAATAGAATTTTGAATAAAATTTGTTAAAAAAAGAATTGGTGGTCGTTATTTAATGCTTAACCTTAAAAAAATGATAATTAATTTATATTTTATATACTAAATCATATTTAGGTTGAGAAATGAAACTTATATAATTTTAAAAGTTTGAAATAATTTGAAGTTCTATAAAATTTAAATTTGTGAAAAATAAAAGCTTAGAATGTGATGTAAATGGAATACTATATATATAAAACAAGCTGTCACAATTTCCAAAATTCCTCTTCCTTTTTGATATTTTGCATTCGAGGCCTTTTGCAAAAGATATATATTCTTTTTTAATATACAAAATTTCAAATTCTAAATTATGAAAAAATAGTAAACATATGACGAAATTTTTTATTTTATTATTATTTTTTTTTTCAATTTGTGACTCAAACATTTAACATTTTACTCGAAGGTGTGTGTAACAGCTTTAGTCTACTGCTAGCAGATATTATCCGTTTTAGTCCGTTAGTATCGCCATCAGGCTTACGATTTTAAAACGTGTCCTAGAGATGAGTTTCCATTTCCTTACCATTTCCAATCGATGTTGGATTGGAACCTAGTGTCCTTACTAACACACTTGGTGTCTAGCTCTGATACCATTTGTAACAACTCTAACCCACTACTACTAGATAATATGCATTTTAATCAATTGTTTAAGATAGTCCAACTAGAACTAAACATTTTAGTTTAATTTAATTGGTTAAGATAAATATTTTAAAATAAAATAAATTTTGCATACGGTGGACACCTAAATTTATAATTTTAGAGAATCCGTGTAATTTATAAAATATTAAAGTTGAACTATTAAATCTCTAATTTAACCTAAAAGAAATTAACTTGATGTAATAATAACATTAATGGGAAAAATCAGAATTAAAAATAAGTATGCAAATTGTGAAATTAAGAGGGACAAATTTGGAAATTTCAATATTCATGGACAAACAATTAAAGCAAGGCCGCATAATGTGAAGGCTTTGGCATCGAATCTTTGAAAAAGTAATTGAAAACATTATCTTTTTAGAATATTTATCAAATTGTCTCCCTTTTTCTGCATCCAAACCTCAGCTCAATTTCCGATTGGTAAAATTTAAAACAATTATTAATTTTTTGTGCTTTAAAATTGATTCTAAAATTAAATATATCTTATTATTTCCTATAAAATGTCTAGTTAATTATTGATTTATTATTATTTTAGTTTAATTAAAACTTGTCATAATTTTTATTATTTTTGTCTCGCCATTATATTAAATCTCTAAATTTAAAATATATATATATACTACTCCCTTAACTTCACATATAGTACATTTAGTTAGATATTGTCATTATCATTTAATTAACATGAACATCCGATCATTTTTAAAAAATTAAGATCTCGTACTAATGGTGTATTTACCGACTTCTTTTAGTTATATATAATTAGACATAATTTATTGTATTTAATTTTTTTTTTGAACAAAACATAAAAGTTAAACTATGTTTGGATTATGTTATTATTCGAAGACATAATTAAGCTAAATGGTATGAAAAATGTTTTTATAAATAGATTATATGCTTGAAAATTCCCGACCAGGTCAAATTAATTCAAATTTTTTTAGGAGTTTGGTGGATTATGGTTCGTTAATTAACCACTAACGATAAGAGTTAAAATAAAAGATGAAGAAGAGAGAGACAGAGATATGGAGCAGAAAGAGAGAGGAAGAAGAGAAGGAAAGAGAGAAAGAGAACGGCGGCTAATTGACGATTACCGGCCGCGAAATTAGAAGTTTTTGTCAAAGTCAACCGCCATCTCATACGAAGTGGATTGGGCCCTACAAATACAATTCTACTTAAAAACTTTATACTTCCATTTCTCTCTTTTTCATTATTATTATTATTATTATTTCTAAATTCAACCTCATTTTATCACAGGTTTAAAATGTGTCTGGTAATGAGAGGTTCTCACACTCTTAGGAATGTTTCGCTCTCTTTAACTGATGTGAGATTTCACAATCCTTCCGACTAACGTGGGATCTCACAATTCACTCCCCTATGAGTCCAACATCTTCATTGGCATACCACCCGATATTTAGTTCTGATACAATTTGCAGCATATTTGTTAATCTTAAATATTTGAAGTTTTTTTTTATTAATACAAAGGCGTTCTGATTTATATTTAAAAAATATATAATTCTCTCGTAAATCTACCTGAATAACCCTATGTTTGATGTCAATTTTAATGTAAAAAAAAAAATAATAATAATTAAAGTTGAAGAATAAAGAGGGGACTTGAAAGTCGCTCCAAATTTTAATTATATTTTTTGTTGAATTTAATAAATAATAACGAAACTAGGAGTGGAAGGAGAAAAACTTCACGAGGGTGGAAATAACAAAGTGCCAGTCCTTGTACACGTTTGACCAATCAAAACGGAGGAGACCAACGCGCTAAACTCGCCCAGAGGTTAAATGACCATAATACCCTCAAAGAATAACTAGAAACCCTTCCAAAATCCAATTTATTTAGGCGCCTTCCTTGCCATTTTCGTTTGATGTGGAGTCGTGAGCCTCAAGCAAGTGGAATTCCCCCATCCTGCTCTGTATAAATAAACGGCCGTCTACAAACCGAGTCGATACCGAGTCGAAGAAAGAGAAAAAGAAAGAGAGAGAAAGAGCACTGATGGATGATGCAATCGATAGGAAGAAGACGAAGAAGAGGAGAGCATTCAGCATCCAGAGGCTAAGAGATTCGTGGAAGTGGAAATTCCTTAAGGATTTCAAGTGGAAGAGATTGAATCTCCACATCGGTTTCTTAGATGCTATAATCTTTCGAATCGCTTCTCTGTTTGAGGCCATTGCGTTGATAGGCATCGCCGGCTTCTTCTTCCTCTGTTGTGGCGGTTGCCGCTTCTGATCGATTCTGCCAACTCAATCGGTCAATTTCTATGTTCTTCATCATAACTTCGTAATTAACCGAACTCTGTATGTATTTGTTATATAAGTTTCCTTCCTCTTCAGTTTTTCTTTTCCAGTCGTTCTTAATTTGTTCATTAATTTGTTGTCTCTGGCCAAGCACTGCAACACAAAATGTAGATCGGCTTTCGAATCTCTCTTCTCTATTTGAATCGTTTTCTCTGTGGCTTCGATCTGACGAACTCGTTAATCTAGCAAATTCAATTCATTATAAAATTATATTGAAGAAGTTTGTTGGTATGGTAGATTGGCGAAGGGTAAAACTAAGAAGAATTCATCTGCAAACAAAGGTGCGGACGAATTTAGATTTTGCTTGGAGAATCAATATCATTTTCATGCGAGTGGAGAAATGAATAACTTAGGTCAGAATCTTACTGGAAACAAACTGGCCATCGACGGCTAAGAAGGAAGAGTGACAATCGTGGAAGGATTGAATAATCCTCTTCCAACTGTCTTGAATTATTCCAACATTAGAGCCTTTCACGTTTGTATCTTCTCTGGCAACATTCACTTCTCTTAATTAATTAACGAATTGAAGAAGGATCGATTTATTCAAAGTCATAACTCGTATTTGGTTTAAATTAATGCTCCAAATTTCATTCCTTAAAGTTTGACCAGCACTAAAGAATAGCTTGCATTATAAGTTCATCGCAATTTGCAATATAATTTTTAATTTCCAAGTACTAACCATTTCTCTATGCCTCCAATTTGTTAAATCAAATACTCAAAAATTGGGGAGAATCCCGCGAAAGCTTAAGTTGGTAATTGGCTAAGATCTATTCTCACGTGAGAAGTGCACTAAGCAATTAGGTAGCAATTAGGTAGTGCTTTCATTTTGTTGCTTTAATGAAATTGGATTCCTCCTAGCTGCCAATTCGCAGACTCGTTTCGTTGTCATAGTTCTAGGCTCATTAGACCCTCTTTTTTATGCCAAGATCGTGAGAATGGACACAAGACCGCTAGAAATAGTTAAGAAATTGAACACCTAAGTCAGGCCCTCTCCTGTTATTTA